TGGAACTTAGTACAGATTTAATTCTTGGTCAGTTGATCCAACCTACCAAATTTCATTAGGATCGGCCGACTATATCCCATAGCTGCCATATAACTGAACGATCGGAAATGGTATTTGGTAGAAATATCAACTTTCGTATTTTTGAAGATAGAAGTTTGGGACTTTTTTTAGATTTTGTATTGTAATAAATTGGATTATATATTCCTATTCCCATAAGGATCGGCCAACTATATCCGATGTTTGCGATAAATATCCGGTTTTAACTGCAAGGGTATATAAACTTCGGCTCCGCCCGAAGTTAGCTTTCCTTTCTTGTTTCTTTCGTCATTTCACCAAATAACGAATACCCGAATTTTGTTAGGGTAGCAAGCCTGAAAAGTAAGAAAAATCAAAATTTTGTGCGTTGGCTTCGAAACGAAATCGCACGCACACATACACCCCGTACGCAGGATCCACATACGGCGATGTCCTCAAATTGGTCACCCGACAGCAAGATGGCAAACTTAATAATGTTAGCCAAAACGTTAAAAAGATACGGTGCACGGCAAAAGGCGATCTTCTGCTGGAACTGGCAGCGAAGGTTGCAAACGCTCTCCAGATGCGGCAGACGCTTTTCCAGGTGCTGGGCGAGGCAGCGAGCGTTCGTGCGGCCACAGGCGAGACCACCGTTGAGATCCGCGACCTGGACGACCTTACCACGAAGGAAGAAATAGCGGCAGCTTTTAAAGCCCGAACGAGCGGTCTGGCGGAGGCCATCAGGGTGAAGTCCCTTCGCCCAGGCTACTCTGGAACCCAGGTCGCCTTTTTGGGAGTGGAGCCGAGCCTGGCATCGAAGATCCTGTCCGAAGGCAGGATTAGGATAGGATGGACCATTTGCAGGGTCAGGGAGCGCACGGCCCAGCGTCGCTGCTTCAGATTCCTCAGTTTCGGGCACATCGCCGCTTACTGCAAAGAGCAGACTGATAGAAGCGACTGGTGTTTCAGATGCGGAAAGCCAGGTCACACGGTGGCTTCCTGCACAAACGCGGCTGAGTGCTTCCTCTGTGCAGCTGCAAACAAGGCAGAGCGGGCCAACGTAGCTGGCAGCAAGAGATCCCCTCTCGCGAAACCTGATGCAACGAAACAAAGCAGAGTATGAGGTTCATCCAGATCAACCTCAACCACTGCGAAGTAGCCCATAGCCTACTCGAGCAGATTTTAAGAGAGAAGCGGGCAGATATAGCCCTAATAAGTGAGCCGTATAAAAAAGTAAAGACGCAAAGCTACATCCTGGACTCCTCCAAGACCGTGGCTATCTGGGCAGACAACCCGAAAGCGTACAACACAGCCTAACACTGCAGCAGTTCACCCGCAAGAGGACGCAAGGCACAGATCCCAGGTGGTGATCGCTGGCGATTTCAACGCCTGTGGAGTGCCGAGTGGAGTGGAGTCTCCTGGGCCAAGTCGAGCAAGAGAACCTGCCGGCTCAGGAAATAGGCGCCCATGTCATCGTAGAAGTCGCTAAGGCTATCCAGGTCGGAAAAGCTCCTGGTCCAGATAGGATCCCAGACAGCGCGATTAAACTGGCGATGACTGCGTGCCCTGACCAGTTCGCCAGGGTCTTCAACGCATGCCTACGGGAAGGCGTTTTCCCTAGAAGGTGGAAAGTTCAAAGCCTAGTCCTGCTCCCAAAGCCAGGCAAGCCGCCGGAGGATCCGTCGTCCTTAAGGCCGATTTGCCTCAAAGACCATGCCAGGAAAGCCCTAGAGCGCTGCATATGCCGGAGTCTTCAGGAGGCTGTAATCCGCGCGGGAGATCTCTCCCCATTACAATACGGGTTCAGGGAACACCGTTCCACGGTCGACGCAATTTCCTTGGTCAGGTGGCAGCCAAGGCAATCGAGGGGACTATATGGCCGGGCGGAAGTAAGGAGTTCTGCCTGATCGCTACTCTGGACATAAAAAATGCCTTCAATACAGCCAGGTGGGATGTCATAGTGGAGGCGCTGCGTAATCTCCGCGTGCCGACTAGCATTGTGGAGGTCATAAGGTCGCACCTCAGCGATCGCACTATTAGGTACGAGACGACCTCAGGCATCCGAGAGCATGCGGCCTCCTGCGGTGTCCCTCAAGGCTCAGTTTTAGGCCCAGCCAAAGGAATGTAATGTACGACGGGGTCCTCAGACGTGACCTCCCGGAACGGACTCACCTAGTCGGATTCGCGGATGACATCGCGGTAGTGGTCGTCGCCAAGACAATCAAGAAAGCTGAGGAGCACTGCAACGCTGCAATTGCGAAGGTCATCGGCTGGCTTGAACAGGCAGGGCTAAGCCTTGCCCACCACAAGACGGAGGCTGTCCTGATTTCAAGCAATAAGCGGCCACTATCAACCAGGGCCATAAGGTATCTGGGAGTAACGCTGGACACGAGGCTTAGCTTCAGGGAACACTTCGTAGAAGCCAATCGTAAGGCAGCGAATGTCGCCAGAGCATTAGGAGGATCATGCTAAACCGTCTGCAGCGCAACAATGCTCTACGCAGCCCCAGTGTGGGCGGAGGCAGCCACAACAACATCGTATACAAAAGGACTGACCAGCACATATAGACTGTGCGCCTTAAGAGTGTGCTCGGGCTACCGCACGATCTCTGACGACGCGGCTCTCGTCATAGCAGGCATGGTGCCAATCGACCTGCTCGCGGCGGAGCGACAAGAGCTATATCAGGCCCTAGTAGCGCTGAGCGGGCAAACTTCGGCAGCGACACGCCGTCGGTTAAAAGAGAGCTCGAGAGCTACAAGTATACAAAAATGGCAAAAACGATGGGACGAGTCGACCAAGGGACGCTGGACCCAACAACTAGTCCCCGACCTCAAGACTTGGCTCCAAAGAAGTCACGGGGAAGTGAACTTCTCAAGTGAAGGTTATCAGCGGCCACGGATGCTTCAGAAGCTACCCTTACAGATTTGGACACGATGACGATCCAAGGTGCCCTGAATGCGGGGTAGACGAGACGGTGGAGCATGTGGTCCAGGACTGCCCACGCTTTTCAATTCCCAGGCGGAGACTCCTAGGGGAAGTAGTGACGGCGGACCTCATCGGACGGAAATTGCTGGAGAACGCCCAGTTCTGGACAGGAATGAGCAGCTTCGCCGCCTACACGATGAAGGAGCTGAGACGGCTAGAGCGACTCCGAGCGGAGGCTGGGCTAGCCTAGTCAATCAGTAGTGGGGCGCATAAGCACGCCAATCCTGGCCCTGCGAAGCAAAGCCTAGCGGCATTACCGCAGGGGACAGGGATTTAGTAGACACTTTTTCTTTTTTTTTTGTTAGAGCTTAGTTTTAAGTCTTTCTTCCTTTGTTAATAAAGGATTAAAAAAAAAAAAAAAAAACCCGTGTATGTGAAAGTGTGAAACGCATACATACAAAGATCAACCGAAGCGCAGGCCAACCTTCTTCAGCGCGCTCCGTTGAGAGACTGAGAAACAGAAATCATTTAATGAGAGTATGAGCGTAAGATGAACGAACGATAAGCGTAAGAGAGCGTAAGAAATCCTCTCTGGGGCCTGTCGCAAGAAATTTTTGCGTCCATTTTCGTTGTATGAAATGGGTTGTCTATATGCTGTATGGTTAGTGGTCGTACAAAGCGTCGGCGGCAAAGGTTTTATGTGACAAATTCCGGGATGACGCACTCCGGGTATTAATTTTGGGACTCAAGCGCAGTCTCACGGATGGCTAAAATCCGTACTACTCAAAACAGCACTAGGTTTAAGTACACTCTGCTCCACGCAGTAAAGAGCCCATGAAAATTGACCCATCACTGTTCAAGATGCTTAAGCACTCTCATGACCCGGCATACCAAAACAGGAAGCCGTGTCCGACCGATCGCGCCCGCACAAAAGGCAGAGGGTTAAGCACGTAGCTCACAGTGCAGGTGAAACCGGAAAGAAATACATACCGCCGTCTTTTACAAGCCTGGCAAAGAAAATCTCGTTGCGGATGCCCTGTCGAGACAGCAATGGAGTTATGGTTATGGAAGTTATGGAAGAGGAAGAAGCATTATCAAGCGCGGCCACAATTCACAGTGAGCTTACCAACATGATTCAATCTACGGACAATCCTCTTAATTGCTTTAAAACCAGATAACTTTGGACGAAGCACGCTTTCCGTCAAAATTCAGCTTCGTGCTCTTTGGAAACAAAAGACTGCATAACATTGACTTCATATGCAAGGAGTCATTGCTTAAGAAACTCACAGGATAAATTGTCTCGGCAATTCCCTGCCACCAAGATTGGCTGAGGGGAGAGAAACTCTCACTGTCGTGCACAATAGGGCTCAAAGATCGGCCCAAAAAAATGCCCAAGCAGGTTCTCTCAGAAACATCCTGAAAATGGCGAAGTTAGCAAGTGAAATTGTCGCTAATTGCAAAACATGTGTATATCACATGTTTTCATGTATCATAAAAAAAAACCCGTGTATGTGAAAGTGTGAAACGCATACATACGAAGATCAACCGAAGCGCAGGCCAACCTTCTTCATCGCGCTCCGTTTAGAGACTGAGAAACAGAAAAAATTTAATGAGAGAATGAGCGCAAGATGAACGAACGATGAGCGTAAGAGAGCGCAAGAAATCCGTTCTGGGGCCTGCTGGGGCCTGTCGCAAGAAATTTTTGCGTCCATTTTCGTTGTATGAAATGGGTTGTCTATATGCTGTATGGTTAGTGGTATATCTTAAATTCGTTGCAACCATACATATATATGTATTTATGTACATTCATACATACCTACAAATATATGTATATAGTATATACTATATACACGTATCACCTCGCTCCTCTAATGTGGAACATACATATGTACATGTTATTTAAATTAAAAAAATATGTAAAGAAAAAATTTAAATAACGTTTATTTGTTTTAATTATTTGAATACATCATTTATCAATTCTGTTGTTTCTTCGAACAAATTCAATACATATACACACACATACACATTCAATACACATACATATGTATGTTTAAGAAAATTAATGCATGCATTAAGCTTAAAGCTGTAGTGCTGTTCAGTCTTCTTTCGTTTGTGATTATCTTCTCCTTCTGTTTTGTTAAATTCCTAAAAAAAAGGTCAAACATTTTTTTGAATACACCATCATTCCGCAGAATGAGTTTTAAAGACAGTTCTATATTCCTACATATGTTGATCTTAAGCTTTCAAAAATTGTTTGTTATAATTGTTTAATATACAAACATTTTATTTGCATGTATGTATGTGTAAAAATACATTTAATTTTAAATAATTAATGATGGTTTTTATTAGTTAACAAAGAAATATATGTATTTTATAAAAATATGTATGTATGTAAATACGTTTTTATTTACTTTGTGTAATTTAAAAACTCAAAAAAAACGTAAGGGTCAAATTTTAGAATAATGTACACACATATGCATGTACATGTACACTTCGTGTACACAAAGAGAGAAAAAAACACGGCACTGTGTAATGGTGAGCGAATTAAAAATTGCATGTATGTATGTACATACGTATATGATTAGTAATCATTGATTATACATAAATGTACATATACAAATTTCACTTTGATGTACACTTTGCGGAACGTAGAGGTGGAGAAACATCGATGTTTTTGGAAAATCGGCAACATCGATGTTTACCGGGGCAATCGATATTTTACCATATAATATTAAAAGGTACATAAAGGAAGATTGACACATTGTATTTACATACATAGTACATACATAAATACATGTATATCATTTAAATTAATTTTATATTATTAACACAATATTGCTATTTTAGTTATATTTAGTAAAGTTGGACAAATTATTAGTGAGGGTCGAACGCGGCTATCATCAACCGTTGTTGATATGCTACTCTTTTTAAAAAAAAACCAACTTGTAAATAATATGTAAATAATATAATAATAATATGTATAGTTCAGGATAGTACAGTAAGAATAGTTAAGTAAAGATAGTATAGGAGAGATAGTAAAGTAAGGATAGTATAGTAGGGATAGTAAAGTAAGGATAGTAAAGTAAGGATAGTATAGTAGGGATAGTAAAGTAAGGATTTTAAAGTACAGATAGTATAGAAGAGATAGTAAAGTAAGGATTTTAAAGTAAAGATAGTATAGTAGGGATAGTAAAGTAAGGATAGTGTAGTAGGGATAGTAAAATATCCATAAAGAAGTATTTTTCTATTTGTACCATTTATGTATATAATGAACAATTTTGTTTTGTTTTTTTTTCGTCTTTACTTCAAATTTTAATAATAAAATAAAAAAAATTTGATTTTAAATTTAAGGAAAGGAAATATTTTTATTTTTAAGCATTGCAAACTAAAAAAAAAGTCAAACATTACTCTAATAAAAAAACTCAAATTCAAATTTATTTTCAGGGGCCGGCATAGGCCAAGTCTATACAGGTGTTCTTTGAGTCCAATCAAAAATACATACATATGTACATATGTATGTATGTACGTATTAGGCTAAATGAAGTTGTATGGCGTGGATTTCAGAAAAATGAGTTAGAAAAAATCAGTCCAATTTTAAATTCCGTCATTTCGTGGAATCACGTTTTGGCGACGGAAGTATGTACATACATATATGTAATTAATTAAATTATGGGATGGTAGATTATATTCGGTTATCCCTCGCTGCAGTGGTGTCGCAGGCGTTAGTGAGATTACGGTTTTGTAGGGTGCGGTCGTCCCTGGCAGTTGCAGATGGGGTTGCTTCTCCCCTGGTAGGTGGTAAGCGATGATAGGGTCCCTGGCGGTATGCCGAGGGAGATCCTTCTATGACAGGAATTATGGTGGGAGCACTTGCTCCGTTATCACGGCCCTTGAGGCGCGGTGACCAATTCAATAAAAGGAATTTATTATTTAACCGCTGCACTATGGTCCCAGTGCGGCATAAAATCGAAAAAATGATGAAACTATTTTTTGAATATGAACAAAATTTTAATTAATAGACATCCCAAATAAATATAAATATATAATTTTTTGAGCTTTATTGCCACCCTGTTAATTTAGCGCGGTCATTTAACCAGCTGATTTATTGCAACCCTGAAACTTGCAAATTGGCGGCAACTTTAAGGCAACTTTTAATTGTGTTTCAATTGGCTTAAATTGAGTAAAAATACTAGATTAAATATGGAAAACAAAGATCAAGGTATGAAAAATCAATAATTAAACTATTTCGTGTTATCATTCTATTTGTATCTGTGTTGTCAAATGTTTTGTAAGTGTCTATTTAGCAGGAATGTGTAACAAAAGTAGTTGTGTTTTGTGGAGTGTTACTTTTTCAGCGCATATCGGCGCAAGCAACTAACCAGCTGAAGTTACTTATAAATATATAGGAATTCAAATTTAATTGGTCTTCTTTGCTGGTTTTTGCTCGTTTTCGAAAAAACAATAGATGTTGCAAGTGTTTATTAGTTCTCTCATGCAGCGCTCTTCGAAGTTTCGGGGGAGAGCCACCGGAAAGACGACGCTGTTAGAGGTTTAAATTAAATATTATAAATAATAGAACCATATTTAATAAAAATTTTAGTTCTTTTTATGAAAAACTTAAGTTTATGTAAAAATTAAGTAAAAATTCCAGTATAGCCAACTCTTAATGTAGGCGGCAGCCATAGGCGTGGTCAAATTTCCAAAACAACAAAATTCGAAATTCGACAAAAATAGTTCAAGCATATATGCAAAATTTGAGCCCAGTATATCTAAGATTGGAGTTTATGCAAAAAAACGGCATTCCCGCCCGAAGTGGGCGTGGTCAAATTTAAAAAACAAAAAAATTCGAAATTCGACAAAAATAGTTTAAGCGTTTGTGCAAAATTTAAGGCCAGTATCTCTAAAACTGGAGTTTCTGCCAAAAAAAAGGCGTTTGGGCCCATTGTGCGCTGTGCCAGAGTATGGACAAATGAATGAAGCGCAAGTACAAACTAGCTAACTAGCTAGCATAAAGCTAACAAAAATGTATTTATAGCGGCCACGCAAATATTCAGTGTTTGCCGGATATGCATGGGCATGCGGCCGGACGCTGTGTCAGCAGTTTGGCCAGAGCAAGCTCTTACATAATCGGATATTGCCGTTGCGCGGTTAACTTCAGTTAACTTGTACATACATACATAATATGTATGTATTACATATATACAAATGTATGTATATACTACATATGTACTACATACATGAAATACAAAGGTATTATTTAATGCGCTATTAGCTTGTTTTATATAATTATTTTATATATTTATATTTATATTCCTTCTTATATAAAAAAAACTCTTAAAAAATTTTTTTTTTCCATTTTAAAAATGAAAGTTACAAATAAGTGCAGTGCCCACATTATTGATTCGTAAACCCCATATTTTTAACTTCAAGCATCTGAAACTTGGTTTATATTAACGTAACACAATAAACAATGATTGAGTATTTTCAAAACTTATAAGCAATTTGCAAAAACAAAAATAACTTTTTTTAGGCAAACAAATTATTCGTACAATAGGAAAATAAACAAGAAAGAAAAGCTAACTTCGGGCGGAGCCGAAGTTTATATACCCTTGCAGATAAAACCGGATATATATCGCAAACATCGGATATAGTTAGCCGATCCTTATGAAATTTGGTAGGTTGGATCAACTGACCAAAAATAGAATCTGTACCTAGCAAAAATAGCTTTCGTGTAAAATTTAAACTCTTACTCTAAAAACACCAAAGTTATACCATTTCCGATCTATCAGTTATATGGCAGCTATAGGATATAGTCGTTCCGACTTATATACTGCGTGCAAAGAAAAGAAGGGTGTGTGCAAAGTTTCAAGACGATAGCTTCAAAACTAAGAGACAAAATTATAATACCCTCTGCAAGGGTATAAAAAAATTGTTTTAACGAAATCGGATGTAAATCTTCTTTTAGTATTTTGTTGGAACACCTTTGGCCTGACTGCCTCTAAACAACTGGGGAGCAAACTATCATTTTTCATAGAACGCGTGCATAGGGTAGTAAATTCTGCATCAGCGCTGCCGGCACACTGACAGTGTGAGCACTCTCAAATTTTTTTCTCTTAAGCTTTCGTTTTATACCCTTGCAGAGGGTAATTTAATTTTGTCCAAAAGTGTGCAACGCAGTGAAGGAGACATCTCCGACCCTATAAAGTATATATATATTCTTGATGAGGATCACCTCCTGAGTTGATATGAGCATGTCCGTCTGTCCGTCTGTCTGTTTCTACGCAAACTAGTCTCTCAGTTTTAAAGCTATCGACTTGAAACTTTGCACACACCCTTCTTTCCTTTGCACGCAGTATATAAGTCGAAACGGACGAGATTTTTAGAGTTAGAGAGTTCAAATTTGACATGAGAGCTATTTTTGGCAACACATTACGACATGCCAAATTTCATAAGGATCAGCCGACTATATCTTATAGCTGCCATATAACTGAACGATCGGAAATGACCCAATTTTCGTATTTTTGAAGATAGAAAGCTGGAACTTGGTACAGATTTTATTTTTGGTCAGTTAATCCGACCTACGAAATTTCATAACGATCGGTTGACTATATCTTATAGCTGACATATAACTGAACGATCGGAAATGGTATTTGGTAGAAATATCAACTTTCGTATTTTTGAAGATAGAAGCTTGGGACCTTTTTTAGATTTTTTATTGTAATTAATTGGTTTTGTTATGATGTAATCATAGGGATCGGCCAACTATATCCGATGTTTGCGATATATATCCGGTTTTAGCTGCAAGGGTATATCAACTTCGGCTCCGCCCGAAATTAGCTTTGCTTTCTTGTTTTTTTTTTTGTATATTAAGTTACTTCCTGTAGTGGAAGATTTATTTGGCCTCCCCGTTTAAACGGGTTAACGCCACAGCCAATGTATGAAATCTTATTTCAGTAGATCTAAAAAAATTGCGCTTGCATTAAAAACAATAATTTTTATAAATTAATTTGAGCTTGCTTTAAGAAGGACGTTATCGATTTGTAGTTGTCGATTGGTTCATTTGCAAAGAAGCGATAAATATCATTATATTTTAAAAGTGTTGGAAAATGGCGGCGAATGCTTGAGTATTTTGTACAATTTAAAATAAGATGTGAAA